CTGCAGAAGTGTGGAGTTCCAAATCTTTACAGACACACAACTCCTCAATTTGTAATGATAAAAAAAAAACTATAAAAGCTGAGGGATACAGAGAATAAACAAGYTAAAATTTAACTAAATCATTGAAAAATGTTGGTCAAATGCTACATTTATTTAATTTTAAGTCAAAATTTGTTAATTTGGTTCAAATCCAGCCAAATAAAACAAGGGCAAACCGTTATTACACAGATTTTATTGYTTTAATTTCAACAGTTAGTTTTTCCAGTGCCTGTGCATCGGTGTGTGCATGTTGCACGAAGCATACTTTCCTGTTGTTTTTGTCACCGTGCAAAACCTCTACATCAAAAACTAATAATATCATTTGTTTTGTTGGCTCCCCTCCCTCCTCCCCTCTGCATCCAACTAATGAAAAGCTCACAGTCAGCACAGCTCATTATCATGATTATAACCCTTAGCTTACTTGTGTCGAGGCAAAATCTGGAATAATAAGCAGGCTCTATGCAAATGCAGTCTTTTGATTCATAATGTATGGCACCCAAGGGGGATGGGGGRATTGCTCAGGTGTGTCACGGCTCTGATTACTGATTCATAACACTATTGCTAGAACACACACACACACATTTCCAAACAACCACACAGTAGCAGAAGGTGGGGGAATTGAGGAGACAATCAAATACATCTGTCCTGCCCCCGCTCCCACCCCTCCTCCCTCCACCTCAGTGGAAATTGAGCACTTCAGTGAGGACTATTGATTGGAGACACAAGAGGTTGGTGGCAGGCAGCAGATGAGGCCAGACCGCACGGGGGCTGCCTGCGGTGTCAGGGCCGCGACTGAGCCGGGGATGAGAGGCGGGGAAGGTGGGGGGGTGGCTCTGGGGACATGAGCTGGGGTGGGCGGTGTGAAAAGTGGGATGTGTTAATCTCACAGAAAATATGAAACTACTTCACTGAGTTTAGGGCGGCTGCAGACCTGGTTGCGGTTGGTGTCTGCTCTCTGCCGTGAACAGATGGAGCACTGTCAGGAACAAGCCTGGAGTTAAAGGGCGAGTTCAGATGTTTTGAGATGAGTTCTGTTTGAAAATTCGCTGAATCCAAACGTGCGTCCAGTTGTTACTTTCTGAACGTTTCGTCACAATCCATCCAGTGGTGCACGAGATAAATTGCAAGCAGATGTAGACTYCAACAGTTACTGCTTTAGTTTTAAGCATTCAAAATGAACAATGGCCGGCACTCTGTGTGTTGAGGATGACTCTCAGCTACTACCGCACCAATAGTTGTAGCCCTTTTTTGCTAAGGTCTGTTGTCTGTGGCAGAAATCTGCTGCTTTGTTTTTTTTTTAGCCTGAAATGTTGTTCTGTGCATGCGTGAACTGAAGCGTGTTGCTATTATATATAGAAAACAAATGGAGGTGAAGTGTGCAGTGTAGCGGAGCCGCATAAAGTGTAAATCCCGAGGTTATAGTTGATGCCATGTGCAGAAATTATA